CCTGTTGCAATTTACTTACCCCCCCCCCCTGGAAATGCCCATAAATGCCCTTGCGCACACACGCGCCTCCAGCCCCCCCCCCCTCCCCCCCTCTTGCGCCTAATCGAGCAACACCATGGCCGCCTCGAACCTGCGCTTCCTCAAGATCGTGACCGCTGTGGTCAACCTTCTTTTCTTCATCTCCGGTGTGGCCCTCATCACCGTCGGTGCCTACGCCCTGCATGATGAGCTGTCCGCCCTGACGTCGGTGACCCTGTCCGTGGGTATGATCATCCTCGGCTGTCTGGTTACCATCATCTCCTTCCTTGGCTGCCTCGGCTCGATTCGCGAGTCGCCCGGCATGCTCAAGGCCTATGCCACTTTCACCTTCCTGTTCATCGTTTGCGAGGTTGCCATCGGCATCACTGCCTACCTGATGCGCGACGACATCCCGGAGATTGCCCAGAAGAGCTGGTCCCGCCTGCATGAGGAGGATCAGGACGCCATCGAGGACCTCCAGAACCGCGTACGTGCCCACACACGCGCACATACAGTGCTCACTTGGCGCCCCTTCCCCCAGTCGCGTCCACCGCTCCGTCTCCCTCCCCGCACGTGTGTGTCCTGACCCCCATTTCCACACCGCCCCGCTTGGCCCCATGCGCGGCCGGCCACCCGCGATATGCGCATGTGCATATAGTTCAAGTGCTGTGGCTGGAGCACCACCGATGACCACTCGGTCCCCACGGAGAACTGCCCCGCGGCCACCGGCTTCACCGAGTCGTGCAGTGCCTCGATCATCAGCTTCATCGAGAGCAATCTGGCCTACATCGCCACGGCCGGCATTGTGATTGCCGTTCTGCAGATCCTCTGCTTCGGCTTCTCCTGCTTCATGATCTCCCGCATCAACCGCAACCGTCAGCACGAGCGCATGGTGGAGGAGAGCCGCCACCTCAACCGCCGTGACGAGGGCTACAACACCTACGTCTAAAGGAAAATAACCCCGGGGATACCACGAGCCCTCCCCCTCCCCCCCCATGCGCACATGGTTTGATCCCCCCTCGCCTCTGCTCCCCCTCCCCCCCCCCCCCCATGCGCGAGGGGCGGCAAGTGGGAGCGTATGTGCGGGTGTGTATGTGTACAAAGTACCGCGCACACGTGTGTCCCCGGCGGAAGCCACAGATGAGGCGCGTGGGGGGGGGGGGCGGGGGAGGCTCTTCGTAGTGCGTGTGTGTGTGCAGAGCCTGTGTGCATTCATTTCGCGCCCCAGGAAGCATTGGCGCCCCCGCTCCTCCCCTCTCCGGCCCTCTGCTGTGGGTGTACCTTGCCTGCGGCGCCAGCAGCAGCAGCATGTATATCCACACCATGAGGGGCCTCTCCCTCTCTCCATCCACACACCCATGCTCCACCTCCTCCTCCCGCCCCCTTGCGAGGGGGTGGAGGAGGTGTGCCCTCTGGGGCCGGGCCTTCCGGTGTCGTGCACACACATAACATCCCCTTCAGAAGAAAAAACTCCCAGCAGAATCCTGTTTCTAAAAATATCATCCGTCAGTTGTATGGGCATATGTAGCCATCTCTCATCCATATCATGCACATGGGGCGCAGAGAGGAGGCAGCTACGAATAGGGGGGGGGGGTAGACGGGAAGAATCACAGAATCCCCATTACTCGCCCAAGGGGGGGGGGGGTCTTTCCGGCGGGGATGGTTGGACGGGACACCGGCGAGGGAGCGTGAGACGGCCCACATAGACGCCCAAATCCCAGAGTGATCGGGACACCGGTCTGGAGCAGGAGGATCTCCGTGGAGTAATGTGGCTGAGGGCCTGGGCCGGGATCTGCATCGTGTCTCCCTCCCCCCGGGGGCTGCTTGTTTGGTGACTGAGAAACCCAGCCAAAGGAATTGTGAAAGGGGGGGGGGAGGCCCCCCGGGGAGGAGGGATGCCAGAGTGCACCGGAGCCCGGGGGGAACCGCCTGATTGTGATCATGTTGTTCATAAATCACGAATAATTAAAACCAATATATCCTTTGCAAAAGGGACACATCCATGATTTTTATTGATGGATGCGTCTTTCCGAAATGAATATATCTATCCATGTCCCAACGGGATTGGGCTACGGCGGTGACGGGGATCATGCCCCGGGCGCGCTGGACACCGGTCGCCGGCTCGCCTGGCCCATTTCGCCGCCCTCCGGTGCATGGGCGCGACCCGGCGGTCAAGCCCTTCGCCTTCCGTTGAGAGAAGACGGCTTCCCTGGTGGGGGAATGCCGACACCCGCCACAAACTGGGCGCCGCGCGACGGTTTAACGGACACTTCGCCCGGAGGGGCCCAGGCATGCTGAGCAAGAGTCTCGCGTGAGGGCGCGAGGATGGATCCTGCATTTGGCGCATGCCCGCCCGTGTGGTGGTGGCGGTGTCCCCCTCTCGCCGCTCCCCCCGACGACATGCGGGCCATCCTACGGCCGGAGTCTCTGGTGAACTTCTGAAAAAGGCAAAGGCCCCCCCCCCCTCGGGAGGGGGACCCGGTCCCGAGCGGCGTGCTCCCCCGGCCCACGCCGGGGGACGGAGACGGACGGTGCATGGTCAGTTGCGCCGGATGCCCGAGTGCCCTCTTTTTCGCCAAAAGAGGGCCGGCCGCACGCCGCCCGAGGGGAGGTGCCTGCGCTGGGCCCCACTTTTGTCCGAGGGCAGGAGGAGGCAGGGGGCGGGATGTGGAGCGTGCATGCGCTCACGGACGGTGCTGGGGGGGGGGGGGGGGGG